TTGTCTCTTGAACAAAAATTAGAATTAGTGAAAACTAAAAAAATTTCAACAAACCAAAAAAGAAAAAAATACAGTACAGAAATCAGTTATATACAAAACCATCTGACAAGAAATTGATTTATTTGAGGATAAGGGATTTAGAGGTAAATACTTGGAAAAAGTATATCGCACATTGCTAACAGTACCACCAAGTAATATAAGATGCTGAAAGAGCATTTTTCACAGATGGGAATTCTTGCACAAAATTATTTTCCACGCTTTACCACAGACTGTATAGTGATATTTACACTGATTTAAATAAGACGTTTCTTTACTTTTTTGTGATTCTTTATATACTGTTATAATTTACCTTTACAGTTACAAATGATTTTTTTGTGATATTTACTCTCTAATAAAACTGCCAAATAAAACAAAGAAACACCTGTGTTTTCTTTCTTTTTCTAAAATTCCTACTAATGGTATTCGGTATTGTGATCTAAAAAATACTGGTATTGAACTTTTGGTCTGAAATTGATATCCCTAATTGCAAGTTAATTCTACACAGACATAACTACACTAAACACTATAATACTTGTGAATTGTAATGACTGATTTATAATTACAATTTGCTTTTGTGTTTAAATAAACCCTATGGTTTGAGCCAATTTTATTTAGATGAATTTAAGAACTTTGCTGGTTATCTTACATATAAATTCTGTGACAAGTGATAGCAATTTTGAAATCTTGAGTGCAATTATTACAAAATTAATTTTTCCAGTTCTTTAGTGCTGATCTAAAACTAGATGCTTTACTTTTTTTTGGTTCCTTTGCTAATAGACATGTAATTTGATTATTAAATAGAGACAGAAGTTAAATTTTAGCACTGAATAAGTTGTCTTAAATTAATCAAATGCAAATTTAAGTAGCTGCATAGTTGCGCAAATTTAAGTAGTCAGTATTACATGTTGATTTCATTTCTGAAGTCAACATGTAATATTTTTCATTTTCAAACTGATTATACTTCTGATATTTTTTTTGTGATTTATTTACTTACATTCTATTTCCTTCACAACTTTTAAGAACAGAATTTAGTTCGGGGTCTGAAACCATATATCATCTATTATTTAGGTTATGCTTTTCCTGTTTATGGTTTTATATGTCAAAATTGGGAAAGAGTTATTTCTTGTGAATAACTTTGTTTTGAGGATTCTAGAAAAATGTTTTCTATATTTCAAATATGCAATTTAATTTTTTTTGTCTTTAAAATAAAATTTCTAAAAATAAATGTTACCTTTATAATTTTGTTGAAGACAAGGGGACTTATTTTATCTTTTAAAGCTATATCATACATTAAGAACTAAATTTATGATTGTGTAATTAATGTGGCAAGGGACACATCCAATAATTTATAATGTTCAAATTATAGTAAATTTAAACCATTTTTGATAATTTTTAATTCATAATTTTTTTTTCCTGCATACGAAAAAAATGTCAGTTTTTGTGAATAAATATAGAAATTTTACATTGTATTTCATAAATGTATTGAAATTTCTTTTTTTCTTCATTTACACTTTTTATGGTGCTTTTTTATTACTAAGAAACCAGATTAAATGTATGCAAGTGTAATATTTTTAACTTTGCTTTGTGCAAAGGATAACCATAGGCAACTTTTTTATCCACAAACTGAAAGAGAAATAGCAATTTGGCAACTGTCAACTGATGAATAAGCTGCATCAGATGGAGGAATTATTTTGAAAGAGACTTTGTTCAGATAGTTGCTAGATGATATTAAGCTTTGATTTAACACTTTAATGGTGATGCCATCTATAACTGTGGTGAAGAAAGAAATTTCTGTGAAATCAAACATGATTTGATAGGTCATGTATCCCTATCATTATTGCTAGGTTATATATGTATGTATGGTGTCAAAGTACCAGTTGAGTTCTGTTCAATGCAGCTTCAAATGAGCAACAGTAAGATTGTGGATTGAAACAGCTGTACATGGGAGGTATGTGCTGATGCTTAGATATATAATGAATCTTCTTTACTTAGAAGATTTATACTCAAAGTGTATTCTCCTTCATTTAGCTCATTTATTTATTTCAATCCACCATATATATATATATATATATATATATAAAACAGTGTTTGTTTTTTCATAATGGATTTTAGAGTATTCTGTCATGAAGTACATGAATGTTTTTTTGTCATCATTCCCATTCATTCTGTTCAAACAGTAATGACCATAGTTGAGGAAAACATTGCTGATGGAAATAATTTTTTATTCTTGCTGGAGAACACATAAAACCAATTAATTATACTAACCTTTATTGGAGGTATTAAGGTAGCAAGAATCAGCATAATATTCATAAACTTTTAGGACTAGTTTTGAAGGTTTAAATGTAGACCCTTCTACTTCAGCTGCAGCGGTGCAAAGTTTGCACTTCATTGACTTAAGGTCTAACCGTTATTTACATAATACTCAAAGAATCTGAGGGTATCTAAAAATAGTTTGTTTAAAATTAAACTGCTTGTTATATTGAAGGTTAACTGTGAGGCGTGGGCAACTGGGCAGTTTTGTCAAGCAGATGCATGAAAGTTTTGCCTGAGGGATAAAGAAATACTTATGAGAAACCAGTCTGCCATTGAAGTGCCTTCTTATTATAGACAATGCACCTGATCAGCCTGCAGGCCTTGCAGATAAGTTGGTGGAAAAGTTAGATTTCATCACAATGAAATTCACGCCTCCTAACATAACTTCTGTTATAAATCCCATCCAATCAGCAGCTTATTTAAGATTTCAAGAAGCTGTACACCAAAGCACTTTTCAAATGTGTTTTCAGGTATCTTTGATACAGAATCAACACTCAGACTTCTGGAAGCATTCTTTTAATATTCTTCACTGTTTAAGTCACATAGTCAAAGCCTGAAAGTCAAAGCCTGACTTACAGAGTCATGAATTTGGCTTGGAAGAAATTGTGGCCAGCTAGTGTTCTAGGCAGAGACTTTGAATCCTCTGACTTAAGGCTTTTGATATCAATGATGTTGTACCTTGGGCAAAAAATTGGAAATTTGGGGCTTGGAAGTTAACAATTAAGATATGGATGTGTTGCAAAAGCACAAAAATAAATTCACCATAAAAAAACTGAACAGGTAGAACCAGAAAAGATGTTCCTAGATATTTGATCAGCAGAATTTGTGAAAAATAGGTAACTGAAAAATAGGGTGAGGTTTTTCAAATAGTTTCAAAGTTTCAATATATCTATATATAGATATATATATATATATATATATATATAATTTATTTTATAAATAATATTGATTATATTATCTCCTAAGATTACTAATCCCTTCCAAAGATAGCAGATACCTTATATGTTTGCAGAAAAGGTTTCTTTTGCAAACAGTAATATTGAGGATCTTTCATTTCTTCATTGTTTACTGCATACACTGTCAACTTTCTTTTGTAAAGATATGGAAAACATTTCTTTCTTTTTTTGTTAAATAGATTTTAGTATAATAAGTTTTCTTGTTTTTTAAATATGTTAAGTATTGTGTTAATATTATATATGTATAATTATAGATTCCAGATTTTTTTTTTTTTTTTTTTTTTTATGTTGCAAACTTACAAAGTGCCCTTTTCCAAGCAATAATTTGGAGTCCAGGAACAAACTAATCCATTTTAAATTAATTCCTATGTAAAAAAATAAAAATTATGTTGATTTACAAACATTCCTGTGACAGTCTATGTTCAGAAATGAATTAAGTTCATGAACCAAGGTTTCACAATACACTAATTAATATTCACAAAAAAGCTTAAATATTAATAACACCACCTGTTTTAACAAGTGCAAACAAAAACTTGTTTTATGTTATACTTGAGAGAAAAAAAAAGACTATTTATAAAATAATTAAGAAGGAAAAATATGTTAGGGGGAACAGAGCAAATTTAAAAGAAACAAATTTAAAGATCTGGCAAAATTCATGTAATGATTTTACTTTAAAATCTGAAATTAATTGTGATTGATCGTTCTTTTAATTTTAAGCTTTTTTTAAATATTCAACTTGAAATAAGTAATTTTTGATTTAGAATAAAATGCATTAAAATGTATTGCATTTTAAAATTTATTTATTTACCCGAATATGTTATGCTTATTTAAAGTGTAACCAGAACCCATGGAATCTAGTGATGACTGTTAAACATTCATTTATGAATCAATGGTGAAATTTTTGACAATTTTCGAAGTCATAACTAAGAAATTTCATTGAGCATTTTCTCTTCATTGTCAAAAATTATGAAGTCATAACTATTAAGAAAAAACTTAAATTTATTGAATTTTATAATGTCATGTCGAATGCGTGATAGCTTTACTTAGTGATTATATTATTTCTCACTGTCACATGAAGGAAGAAATTGTAACCAGAGAATGAAGAAGACATTCTGACATCTAGTATAAAAAGTGTTAAATATTATTAACATGTGAAAATGAAAAAACACAGAAATCACAAAATTACTCATCATTTGCGTTAAAATATCTCTAGATGCACGAAGAATAAGAAAAATTTGATTATTTTTGTCAAAAATAAAATGTTTACAACATTAGGTGCAACCAATTTTGTTTTTTATTTATTTATTTTTTTAAATGTTTATTTTCAATTTTATTTTAGAAACTTTCATTGCCATCATAATTTTGATACATTATTTTCATTGCCAATGATTTTTAAAAACAAAGAGTAAAAATAATTTATTTTATATATGATATTGTTATAAAAAATCTTGACTTTTTATCTGATGGGACTAAAAATATTGCAGTAATCACTTATAATGTCTTTCTTAGCTGTAGAATATAACTGTACAGACCTTGAAAAAATTGTTAAAAATTCCTCAAATAAACCTAAAAGATCCCTGGTTTTGGAAAATTTTGTGTTTAATTTCTGAAAAATTGTATGGACCATATTTTATTCTCAAATTATAATTATATATAGTATTTGTATGTGTTTTCATTAATTTACATTTGCAGGATGAACTTCATGAAAGGGATCGCTACAGTGATTTTTTGCTTATTGTGCTGCGAGATTTACTTCTGAAGTTTAGAAACCTGAAACTTGTACTAATGTCTGCTTCACTAGATACTCAATTATTTTGCAAATATTTCAGCAACTGTCCTCTGATTGAAGGTATTTGAAGTTTTGAAATTAGTGTTGTGCATAATACTACTGATCTTTGCAAATTATTCAGTTCAGTACTGATGTTTGTTGTATTGCGCTTTTAATATACAATAATTTAAAACTTTATGCAGTTTTAGCGTATATAAATGCAGAATTGAGAGCTTGTTTACTTTTATCAGTATACAAGTAACATAAATGAAACGAGTATCAACTAAACGAGTATCTATAACCATACAAAATTTATTTATTCAAACAAAATTTATTTAAACAAACGAGTATCTATAACCATACAAAATTTATTTATTCAAAGGAAATGACAGGAATTGTATTTCACTGTGTAATTCTTGTCTGTTATAAGCATTTATAAACGCAATAATTATTCATAAAATAAAAAAAATGTGCTTAATATAACTATATTAATTCGAAACAGTAGTGATTGATAAATTATTTCAGAAATACACTGGTGTCCAAAATTACCTTTACTACTGTTCTTGCCGAAGATAGCTCGAACTTATTTAATGATACTTAACTTCAGTAAGTGGACTGTAATATTAACAATAACAATTTTATTTTAACAAAAACAACATTATTGAATACTAGCACACGCATGTGCTTATAGTTACCTATGTAACTTAGCTAAAGAGCGAGCAACCATATGCTCTTACATCAAGTCAGAAATCATTCATACTAATAAAGCAAAAACGAAATAACTTTAGGGTTACACTAAATCCAAACTCTGCTTGGCGTAAAACAATGCTGCCAAGCAATACTCTTTCAGACACCGAACATCCCGCCCGGCGTTGAAATATTAATTTCAATACAATAAGTAAAATTCAAAAAAGTAATAAATGTTCATACAATACAAAATGATACAATGTAAATTAATGCACAAATTATAATACAAGTAATTACACTGTAAAAAGAACAAATATGATGGATTACAATTCAAACCTTCAAATAAACATAAAAATTCGTACATTATTTCTCAATTGGCAGTACAGCAATTTTAGTAACTGCTCGTTTATAAATACCATTTTTGGTTTTGACAGAGACAACTTGCACAAGGTTGTCCTTCCCATAAAACACATCTACAATTCTCCCTAACAACCATTTACTGGTAGGAAGATTTTCTTCCTTGATCACTACCATATCCCCTATTTTAATATTTTGTTTAGCAATCCATCCATTTATTTCTTTGAATCAAAGTGCTCAAGTAATTATTAGTCCAGTTCTTCCATATATTTTGTACCATTTTTGTAGTTTTTTGCCATAAACTAAGTCTGTTATTATCTACTTCTGTTAAATTGGGTTCAATTATTGAATTGATCGGTCGACCTATAAGGAAATGACCAGGGGTCAAAATACATTTAAATCATCAATATTAGAAGTTAACGGTGTAAGAGGGGCGAGAATTTAAGATTCCCTCTACTTGAACTGTTACTGTCAAAAATTCTTCGTAGGTTAATACTGAATTTTCCTACTGTTCGTTTAAAATGAAATTTAAAGGATTTTACTCCTGCTTCAGATAGACCATTAAAAAATTTGGTGCTCTTCTTGGGGGTATAAACTTCCATTGTATACCTTCCTCGGCTATAAAATTAGCTAAAGTTCCATTCTGCTTTAGAAAATACTCATTAATTTTTTTAATTCTGTATTTGCACTAACAAAGTTTTTTTGCATTGTCACTAAATATTTTTTTTGGTTTACCTCGTCGGGCAAAGAACCTCTTCAGACAAGCAATGAATGCTTCTGCGGTTAAGTCATTGACAATCTCTAGATGAATTGCTTTTGTCACCATACAAACAAAAATACAAACATATATCTTATGATAGTTACCCTTGCGTTGCCCTTTGTACTTTATCAAAAATGGGCCGCAGTAATCAATAGCACAACAATTAAATGTAAAGTTAATATTAATTCTCTCTTTAGGTAATTCACCCATTAGTTGTTGAGAAATTATTGGTTTTGCCTTAAAGCAAATTATGCAGCTTTGGACTATCTTTCTAGCTATATTCCTGCCATTAATGGGCCAATAAATTTGTCTAATAGAATTTAATAGTGATTGTGGACCATTATCAAAATCTTTTTCATGAAAATAAATAAATATAAGTTCAGTTAACTTATTCTTGGCAGGCAAAATAATGGGATGTCTTTGACTATAACTTAAATTAGAATTCTTTATCCTACCACCTACCCTTAACAGACCTTTTTCATCTAAGAAGGGATCAAAATATTTTAACTTACTCCTTGATGTTATCTGTAGACCTTTCTGCAACAAAGAAATTTCTTCTGCAAAATACCTACCTTGGACATATTTAAGGAGTGTATTCCTTGACAGCTCCATTTCATCTATACTAATACTACCTGTTCGTTTCTCACTTGTGTTCCTACAGTTGTAGATAAATCTGAAAAGTAAACTAAGAATTTGTATTAGTTTCAAGAAATCATTAGTTATTTTTTAGGAAGTCATCAAAGAATAATCAGTTTTTTAAAGTCAACAAGGAAGTCGTAACTGATTTCAGTTCTGAAGAATAAAGCTCATCACTAAGTCCATTTTTATCTTGAAAATTGTCCTTGTTTAAAAAATCAGGACCTTTCCCCCACAGCTTGTTAGATCCAAGAGTTGTAGCATCTGATCCTCTGGAATGATGTCGGCTGGGTTCATTTCTGAAGACACATGTCCCCACTGATAGTTAGAAGTAAGTTTTGTTGAATTTGTGAGACTCTATTACTCACAAAGGTTTTCAAAAGATGCGGTGATGTATTGATCCAGGCTAAAGCAATGCTTGAAATCTGACCAGAGCTTAATGTCATCAATTTTGAGTTTCAAAGCTTCTAAAAACCTTTTGCATAAGTTTGGACAGGAGTAGACATGCTGATAGTTCTAATCTAGGCATAGTCATAGTCTTGATTGGTGCTACACGAGATTTGCTACAAAGAAGTTTACTACAATATTCACCAGGGCTTGTAATGCTTTGAAGATATATATCACTGCCCACTGCCCCAAATGCCTTCTCGGAGGCATCCGCAAATCCCTGTAAAATGAGCATTGAAAAGGTCTCTTTTAAAATGCAACGAGGTACTTGTATATTTTCTATACTCTGAAGAGTTTTAATAAGCACCATTCCATTCATTGGCAAGAGGTGGTGGTAACTGTTCCGCCCAGTCTAGCTTAAGCAACCAAAGTGCTTGCATGAATATCTTTGCCTTGCTAATAATAGGACCGAGTAGGCCTAAAGGATCATATAATCTCGCTATTTGAGATAAAACATCTCTCTTCGTAACATCAGGATTTTCATTAACAGTAACTTTATATTGCAATGTATCCTTCTTATTATTCTACAACATACCTAACGTCTTCACAGTTGTATTACTATTATGATCAAATGAAAAATTCTGTAAATCAGAGTTCTGAGAATCAAAACTAGTACACCACTTGTGTAGCTTCATTCCTCCTCTTTGGAGCAATTCTGTCAAATCTTTCTGGAGCTGAATGCATTCTTTCAAATTCGAAGATCCAGTAAGACAGTCGTCTACATAGAAATCTTCCAAGACCACTTTCGATGCTACAGGAAAATCCTTTTCTTCATCCTTCGCTAACTGTTGAAGAGTCCTTTGTGCCAAATATGGAGCGCATGCTGTGCCATAAGTTACCGTTTTGAGTCTGTATAGTTCTATAGGCTTATCTTCATCTTCCTTCCAAAGTATTTTCTGATATTTGGTCTGCGATGGTAATATTTCAATTTGTCGAAACATCTTCTCAATATCGGCAGTAAATGCATAAATATGCTTTCTAAATCGTATCATGATGGAAAAAGTTCCTCTTGAATCATTCCACCTTTACATAATGTCGTTCAATGAACAACCGTTAGTAGTTTTGGCACTCGCGTCGAACACAACCGCGTAACTCAGGTTTCAGCACGCCATGATGAGGAAGAAAATATCCTCCTTCCTTCAGTTTCAGAATAGTCTTCCATCCTCTCCATATGATTTAATGATTCATATTCCCTTAAAAATGAAACATAAAGTTCTTTCATTACAGAATCACTCGACAAACGTTTCCACAAACTGATTCAGTCTTTTTTCAGCGATTTCCTTTGAATCCCCTAATTGTATGTTTTCACCAATATCTGGCTTGAACGGCATTTTAAACCACATATCTTCCATCCGCATGCCGGTAAAATGAGTTTTTAAAAAAGTTCGTTGCAATAATTTTATTCAGAATTAACTGTAGATTTAGTTTCATTTACTTCTTCAACTTCCCAGAATGATCTTTACTAAGTTATTTAACGAATTTATCTCTGTTGACAAAAAAAATAAAAAAAAAAAGTAAGTCATAATTTTTTTTTACATTTGGAATTCTAATGCTTCCAGAAACTAAAAAGCCGAAAGCAGCTGTTTTGAAGAAGTAACTCATTATCTTCTAAACGTATTTTATATCTGTTTTTAAAAATTCAAAAAATAATTCCGCACCTAATAATAAATCTACCTTTTTTGCCTTGAAAATTTCATCATCAGCTAACTTTATTCCTTTCGGAATATTTAATTTCGAAATATCAATAGATTTCGATGGTGTCATGTCAGTTATTTGGGGAACAACTAATAACTCTATTTCCCATTCATTTTCCTTTTCTAAGTTCGATAAACGCGTCTTTATTTGTGATTTAACATTCAAAGTAGTGTGCCTATTCCACTAACTGGAATAAATGCTTGTTCTTTTTTTTATTCCTAATGAGTTCATAACACCTACAGTACAAAAATTACAAGTCGAAGCTGAATCAAGCACGGCTCTAAAAGGAATTCGTTCATCGTAAACATCGCGAAGATAAACAATTGCTGTATTTATTAACACAAATTTAGATTTATTTGCAGCTGCCATCAAAGTTGTGTGGGGGGGAGAGGAGCAGTCCTCTTTCCTATTCACTGACGAAAAGTTCAAGGTCAATTCATTTTCTTTCGATGATTCATTTTGTTTTTCGTCAATTTTATGTAACAGCGAATGATGTGTG